CAAAAAGTAAGAGCCTCGCTTGAATTTATCATTTTCTTAAAATATCAAAACGTCTTGTTTACAATATTGTGAAAATATTGTGTTTTAACTGTATTCTTTCAATATACAATCCAGATTAATTTAGCAAGTAGAACAGAGCGATGTTCAATTTGTTGCTACTGAAAACTAAACAGTATTTATTGTGTAACTGTAGATATTACATAATCTTATTCCCACACCTACGTCTCTACGAGGCTATTTTAGGCTGTAAGGGGTGTTCCAGAAATTGGATATGTAATTATTTAGGAATTATCCATAATTGTTACTTATCAAAAGTCAATTACATATATTTTTTAATTTTTAGGCTAGATAATGTATGTAGATTCTGACATGATTCTCTAAACCTGAAACTAAATTTAACACCAATATCTCCTTTTCATTCTGTACAGAGAAAGACAGCGATACACTGTTGTCAAATTTAAGATAAGGTTTAGAGAAGAAGTGCCAGAATCGACACCAATTTTTAAGCTAAATTGCTAAGACTTTTAAATGTAAAGATATTTTTTTCTAGTAAATTTTCTTTAGATAAAGTCTTACACCGCATACATATCGATCGTCTCGCACGGTTCGAACATTCGTTTAGTTAGATCGAATGGGTTACGAGCTACATAATGCATGTTATATATGTGATATCGAAGAAGTTGGCGGTCTTCCACTTACAGGCGATAATCGTTTGAGCTCGACCTCAATAATGGGAGGAAACTTCACAAACTTTTTTGATCGAGCCCAAGCAATTTGCGTCTAAAATTGTAGACCAACTTTACCGTGTGTTTGTGTTCGATCCTGTGTAACATCCTTTAATATTAGATTTTCTTTAAAAAGATTTTTTTAAAAACCTTTATTACATTGCCACAGACTTAGTTTGCCCTTAGCATGTCGCATTTCATTTTTATTGGTATTAAAAAATTCAGTCCTCAAACCAATATCAATGGTTCAGTGGTAGAAAGCTCGCCGATTCAAGTGTACACTTTAAAAGTTTTGCCGTCTAACTGTAACCACAATTCCAACCCGTACAAAGAAATTTGGTGATTCATCGGTAATTAAATGGAATGCTCTGCCCGCGCACGTGTTCCTTCCTTCTTACAACCTGGGATCCTTTAAAAGAGGCGTGAAGAAGCAACATGCAGGCCGGCAAGGTGAGGATGGCTGGTGTGGCAGGTAGAGCTGCTATATCAGCTATCTTCACGGCTAGACTTCACCGTCACTTAACATCAGGTGGGGCGGAGTCATTTGTCGGATCAAACAATATAAAATAAAAAAAAAACTTGCATCGTGGTATCACAAAACCACATTTTTTTGTTTCGTAAAGGTCCACTTGCAACAATTATGCTAAATCTCGAATTAAACTATATAAAATTTAATTTAGCTCATATATAAGAACGTCCAATTGACATTGATTTTTTGTCATTTTTGTTTGGATTAAATATAGTTATAGTTAATATAATAAGAGTGGCAAATAAGCATATGGTATAGTTCTAATTATAAGCGGGTCCCATATCCTTCATGTACGCTATTGTATTTCTGTTTCTGTAATGATTTTACGAGGTCAATTGAGTATAGCTACGTTTCAAGGTTACGTTCTTTATGGGAGGTTTTATTGCTTTTTATGATGCTACAGAATTATGAAGGTTCCATAGATTTAAGGTTTGCGATAAGGATGTGTAAAGAGTTTTATTATGTAGTTGCGACACAGTTATAGAGTGCTAAAGTGGGCGCGGCGTATGAATTGTCAGGGCTATCGCTGGTAATTTGACTAGCCCAACACTCTGACCCGTGAATCTCTAGCAACTTCAATCACTCCATAGTCAAAATTTGTGTGAGGTGGTGCATAAGGTACAGGGGAATGGAGCAGCGCACGCATCACTTATATATATATATACATATATTGTCACGTGTGACGCTCGTGACTCTCGTAGCCCTTCGCCGAGTTACCCCCCAACTTTCATGCTTGTCGGGAAGAGATGCGCACGCATCCCACACAGACGTACATATATGAAAAATACGACTATGTAATATACATATAATATATAATAGTCGTGTTTTCCATAGGATTTTTCCATTTAGACCCCGTCCGAAAAGAAGTTTCCCTTCAAAAAAGCATCTATGTTACCATGATTGCGACATTGCCATGTTAATCTTATCTATACAGTATTGTTGTTATGTTATCACACCGAAACTCCTCGTCCTCTTAATTATAATATTGTGACTCGGCCCTGTCCTTGAAATAACTGCCTACGGCCGAGCGGGGCGCAAACACGCAGTAGGGCTGCCCGCCTTCGGTATTTTAATTTCATCTACATAATTGTGTTTCTTTCTAGTTTTGTGATTGTAAATATTTTATTTTATATGTAAAAAAAATGTTATGAATGAATTAGGAAGTGTTCAATTAAAAACTTGTTATTTTTAGGTAATATATAATAAAATATATATATATATTTGAGACGGAAAAATATTTATGCCTTGACTGAGACGTACGAAAAGCTTTATTATTAAATTTAACAGTATAATAAATACGCATTCGTATAAAAACTTTAACTAAAAATACTTTAGGGAAACATTGGGAAGGAGCAGAAAAGGGAATATCTTAAACTTGGTTATATAGGTATATACCTGCAGCTACTTTACAATTGATATGTTTTTTTTATTGGATGCGTTATTGAAGAGTTAAAGCAACCACAACAGTACAATATCGACTATTGCTCTTTGCCATATTAAATTATGTAGGTATCTACTTAAATCAATCAAATATTCACAATACAAATCGCACGTTCAAGCACGGCTAACTGCTTAAAAAACAATTGACACCGTTCGATCGTCGCTGTGGCGCATTCGCGACTGGATGCCCACCGGGTGCCGCGCGAACTCGAGAGGCGTAGCTAGGACACGCTTTCCGACCGTTTGTATGAAGATAGAATACTGTATAGATAATATTATCGTGACATTGCCTTGCCGTACATTTTACGCCAAGTGACACCGTAGGATGCATACTCTCAACACGGCACGGCACTGTAGGTGCATACGGAGCTGTTTCACGTTCACGTTGCCATGTGGCCAAGCACTCACATTACCCCGATGATGTAGGAGATTGAGTTAAGGTCAGTTATGATTACTGAAACCGCACACTTTTCCGCTGCATAAGCAATATTTGCGAATGAATTCACAACTTAAAATTAAGTAGGATGAGGTAACTAACTTTGCCTCGTGTAAATAAATAAAAAGCTATTAAAATATTGAGGACACTTGTCTAGACTGCACTCTTTAAAATAAATAAAAATTTAGGTAAGCACTAAAAAGTTCATGAAAACTAAACACAGACCAACTTTCTTTGAAACCACATTATTTGTCTTCGAACTTTCTTTCTGATGAGTCTGATGATACTTTCCTTAGCCATTAAGACGACAAACTCGGTTTCAAAAGGCAAAAAATTAAACCATTCTTAAGCCGTGAATGAAAAACAAAAACCCGTAATGTCACAATTGCTTTGATATATGAAGCTGCTCTGGTCTCTACAGGTTACGAACAAAGGATGCCCTAATTGCGCTTTTTATAATACACACAAACAAAAAGTTCCTAACTCGTTTCATTATCCACTCACCTAATTATTGTATCACGGACATGACATTATCTGAGCTTAAATAAGATTAATAAGTAAATATAGGATACTGGATAACATCAGGCACTTGATCTGATTCCGAGGTCAACGGCTAAAGCACTAGAGTTTTCAAACAGCAACCTTTACATTGAAAATGTAATTGATTTATTTAGGTGTTAGACAAAAAAAATAAATGTTAAGCTGTCTAAACCTTTTGTTCAAGGTATTGGAAATGTCAAATTATAATATTTTAAAAGAAAATGTCAAACATGAAAGTTTTTAACAAATTATAAATCATCTCATCTCATCAACATATTAAGCAATCATCATCATCCTATTAATGTCCCCACTGCTGGGGCACAGGCCTTCCCTATGGATGGAATAGGGAGATTGGGCCATGACCCACCACGTGGGCTCAGTGCGGATTGGCGGGTGCTAACGACTGCAGATGCAGCCGGGGCCAACGGCTTAACGTGCCTTCCGAAGCACGGAGGAACTCAAGATAGAAGATTTTTGGCCACCTATACAATGACCGACCATTGCGAAAGTTGCATAACTTCAACGATCGCAGCCGAACGCGCTAGCCACCTGCGCCATCGAGCTCCTCGCAATCCAATCCTCCAATTAAGCAATGCTGGATGAAAAAAAAGCTTTTCTACGTAGTTTTTTTATCATTGACTGAGCCAGGGACACTGAAAAATATTATATGCCTGCCTTTTATGTAGCCTAAGGTAGGTAACCTGTTATGACTACATATTTTTTAAAATACAACATTTATGAGGTGGTTATTTAAGTTCGAAAGAGTAGTGCATTCACAACGCATTATTTGGAGCAAAAAAACTTTAAAAGAAGCGTTTTTTTTATCCAATCCAACATTATTTTTATATTTCGTGTTATCTAGTTAATTTGTTTGTTCGTAATGGTTTGCCTTTATAGTTGCCACTACATAGGTGATGTGAGGTTGCGTATACAAGGTTGCAGGTGTAAGGCAAAGTAAAAACAAAAATTCGGACAAGTAAAATATAACTGAAAACAGAAAAAGAAGAGAACTATAGTTTAGAAAAAGGAAGATAGATTTCTATTATAAACATAGTTTGACAAATTTACAGTTTTTAACTATGAAAGATTGCCAATAGCATCTGAAAAAGCTTGTACATAATATAAATACTTTTAAATACGAGGCGTAAGTTTCTATAGATATGCGGGATTCAGATCCACTTGTAAGTATTACGTATAGATAGAGTCAACGACCACTCAATTGGCTCAATCAAATGTGTGATCAATAATGACGTCCCAATATGGCGTTGACCTTATATTGTTGTATGTACTAACGCCCACAATTTGTAAAATTATTATCACAATACATGTAAGCAAATTGTACGTATATAATTCAACGAATTTCGCATAAACAACGAGTATATTTATTCAAAAACTGGTTTCGTGCGTTCGGTGAAAGTATATGAAAAGAAAAGTAAAAAGTGACGGGAATCCTCATTTTTGGAGCAGCCTCGTTTTGTAGTGTATGTCTGGGTTGTTAGAATAGCTCACTTTGTACATAAAAGAATGTACCTCTTAACCTATTCTGTGTTCTTATTTCTCTTAAGTGTGCGATGGTTAACGTTGCAGAAGTCACGGTAGTATAGTTCGAAGCACGTACGGCGATAAAGCTTCGAGTTCGCATTACGTCTCACCGTAACGGTAAGTGTTTACTATCTGGTTTGATGTTTGAATGGAATGGAGGTGGTGTGAGGAGCACGGTCCATCCTATTGAAGCCGCCAGACACTATAAACGATTCTGTTGCGCCTGCGCGACCAGTCGCCACTCTAAGACCGTTTGTAGCACATTGCCAATCGAAAAATGTTCCGCGGAAAATTATTTATTAGTTTTTAGTGAACTCGATATCTATTTTTTGTGCCAGTGACTGTGGATATTTTTGAATTTAATGCAATTTACAAATAAAGGAACAACAGGAACTTGAAAAAGGTTGGTAACATAATAACCAAATTAATTTTCGCGTAAAAGTGTTAAATGTTTACTTTAAATAAATTGGATTCAATGTCCGTTTTATAACTGATATTAAAATATTATTGCACTGATGGTTAAAAAAATATATTTGACCATCGATGCGAATAGAATTTTAATTATTTATCAATTACGGTGACATTGTAAGGCGGAAAATGTTTACAATAAGCGTTTGTTTCTATAGCTCTTTACTATTCATTTATTTGTTCTGGTATCCTTATCCTCTATCGTTCAATCAATGCCAAATTTGATTTCTTAGAATTTTGACAAATTCTTACAATACTAATTTTTAGTAATACGGAAAGTACCTAATAAATGTTTTCAATTCCAATAATTGTGTTGATAAAACAAAATCGATTGTAAATAATACAGAAAATTTGCAAGTTCCAGTTACGAAGTAAGTAAAGTGTAGATTTAGTGAAAGCGAATTCCGATAAACAGAAAACACAAACATAAACAGTATAAAGTTACATGTCGATGTTGCAAGTCAAGAAATATGTATTAATAAACTTATATAGGATCTGCAGTACTATTCTGTAAAATTTTCACTCGCGGATCCGATGTGGATCCGCGCGGACTTATATCGAAACCGCCCATCGGATCCGTGCGTGATAATTTTACATTATTGCCTTTAATAGATTTTATTTGACTTGAATATTAATGTTTATAAGAATTAAGATGAAGTATATTAGTACTTTCCGGAATAAAAAAGAAAGGGGTTAGGTTAATTGGCTAATAGACTATACTACAGAATAAGGTAAGTAATAAATGGTATTAGTAGATAGATATCTACTTGCTGTACACGCATTTCATACCGCTTCCCGGTTTGAATTTGCGCGCCTTGACTGTGGCTCGCATCATTGCTGCGTAGGGTAAAGCGGCGTGCCTGCGCGCCGGCCAATCAGCGAACCAGCCCCTCTTAACAGATATACTGGTTTTTCCCGGCTACTAGCCCTATCGGTATACAACAAGTCCACTATAATTTTCGGCGGTCACGGTAACTCTTTAAACTGAACACTAGCATTTACAAAAACTGAACAATTCCTAGTTAAATAACTTATACTTTGATTGTGATAAACGCAAAAATTGTATATAACAAAATTTTAAGCCTTTGTATAACGTCACTGCTGCCGAAATAATGGCACTTTATTTGCGCCATGAAAAAGTTTTAGTATTATTGTAAATTGTGCGATTGTTTAAAATTCACACAAAAAGTAAAGCGGCCGTGCACATCGCGTTGGTAAATTCGATTTTCACAGAGCATTCAGTTATCAGGCCAATTTTATGTTAACAATAATAATACGCGATCGCACTTTTTTTTTAACTTAAAAAAACATACCGGCCGAGTTGAAAACCTCCACCTTTTTTTAAGTCGGTTAAAAACATGCGCTTACTTACGAAGTACGTTATTCTTTAAGGCTTATACTGAAAATCAGTGTTTATTCTCATTCTATTATCAAAGCTAAAACAGCGACCTTTTGCCCTCGTATTTTATTCTTATATTATTATTCTTAAAAAAAACCTTAATATTTGCTTGGCTTTAATTAAAACATATTGAGCTCTTTGCCGCAGTGGTGCTAAAAACCTTTCGCAATGTCGGCCGGTCATTGGATGGGTGGCCAAAATGTATGTTCTCGAGCCCCATCGTGCTGTGGAATTACTTTAAACTACTATAGTTATTTGTGGGATTGCTAGCATACAATGTACCTTGTTTTTTTTTCTGAGTCCTCGATATTTCGGCACTGTTGCAAGCGCCATGATCACGGAGTCAGTTAGTCCGTGTTGATAGTATATCAGGGATATGCAAAAGATAAGATACATGGAAGCAATCTCGCTAATAGCTATAACGTTAGTGTCCATGAAAATTTAAAACAAAATACCTATTAGTTTAAATTAGTATTGGACGAGATCCATAGCGAAGGCCTGTGCCCAGCAGTAGGGACATCTAAAGTATAAGAAGATGATTAGATGATTAAATTGTTGATTTAATTATTAGTCATTTGTAAAACATACAGTTTTACATTCATCAAATAATTAAACATTAAATCATATAACTAATTGAGTCCCAATGACGGAAATATTGAACCCCAGCAGTAACACATATTAATTGAAAACAAAAGAAAGTTTCAAAATAAAACTAAACCATAAAATGTCCAGTTGCCTTTATTGTTAGGACCCAGATAAAGAAAAAACAAATTTAGTTGAAAGCGACACCAATTCGTTTTTTTTGTTTTTTTAGTAGTATCGGGAATGTGTAGGCAGTAAAACGATTTGTATTTTCATTTCGGCAAACAAAGCCGAAGGAAACGAGGCAAAAAAAGCTTAGTTCCACGTCGCCCGCTACAAATATCGGTGTACCCAATACCTGCACGATCCAACCTTTTTTACTATAACCTAAAGCGAATGAGATAATTTCGAAATCGTGTACTAACGTATCTTTAGAAAATCTTTATTAGTCTGTAAGCACGCCTAATCACGCGTTCATTGTTTCCTGAATTGAAATCGGGGTAATTTGTATATTCGAGCAAATTATTTGAGACTGATGAACACCAACGTACTATATACGCTTAATCCTTGAGAAACTTCAACAAAACATTAATAACACGATGTAGTGCTGATCGTTTTTTAATATGTTTATGCGCGGTCATTGCTATAGATATAATTTGATAAGTCTTCAACAAATGTTTAGTATTGCTGAATAATTTTACTTTAATTTAGAAGCTCAACGGTGGAATGGTTAGCGCGTTTCGCATTAGCCTGTCATTGTATGGCGATACATTTTTTTCATGTTAAAAGAGTGGCAAACAATCGTATAGCCCGCCTGGTGGTATGCGGCTACCATAGCTTGCGATACCAAAAATATCACTCGCAATAATAATAATCGCAGCCCTGAAACCATACTTTACTATCTGGAGCTGGTGCGTGCTTCGAAAGGTACGATAAAACCAATGGCTTAATAATTAGTTTCGGCTGCATCAACTGTCGTTAACACTCACCAATTTATACTGTGCCCACATATTGGGTTATGGCCCATTCTCTTATTCCATCCAAAGTAAAGTCCTGTGCCTCACCAGCAGAGATATCAATAGCTAATGATACATTGAAAATAAAACAACAAGGGTAGTATGACCGACTTGGTAAATAACACATTAATATAAACAACCGCAACAGCTACCCTGAACCATGTTACATCTGGATGTTGTCCAGAAATAACAGTAACAGGTTGCCAGTGTAACGCATATAGGAGTTTCCGAATTGACCTTGACAGAGTTTTGCTGTTTTTAGGAGAGAACTACCGGCGCTTGTTTCTCAGTTTATTTTCTCTCTTTCACTGGCATGGATCAACTCTTCCGTCTGCGGTCCATATTAAATATTTGCTATTTGAAATGTTTCAGTAATTTCGGGGTGCTAGCGGGACCTTCTTCATGATTATTAATAAGCCTGTATCTCATGAATCGTAATGTCAACCTGACAATGTTTTTTTCACATAAAGTGATTGCTTGTGCGCACACCTAAATCGGCCACAGTATTTATGTACATAGAGGGGACCCTGTTGCCTGTAATACAGGTTATCCTACCACTGGCAACAGAAGTCACCTTTAACAATATTTAAGCTCCAATGTACCCTTGTCACCCATGTTTGTCTTATTAATTTAAAAATATTGTATATTGTAACTTGCTTAAAGTCAATAAACGTTTATTATTATCTCTCATTTAATTAATTTCACAGAAAATCACGGTGTTCCCATACAACAACTTTTGGACGATTTGGACTTTACCCCATTGTTAATAAACGCGGGATAAGCTTTGTCTAGTCACACCATAAGGTCACACTGTGTTTTGTTCCTATCACTCAAATGCCATTTGTACTTTAATGAACAGAGACAAAACATGAAGTAACAAATCCAAGCTTATTCTTCGTTTATTAATAAAGGGGTACAAGTATTAAATTGTGTACAGTGGTACGTAATGTTACCCATGTGCGAGTCCCACTAAGGTAGTTTTTCAATATTCGCACAAAATGAATAGAGGAAATTGTGTACTACAAATGTGTTAGGAACACCTTCGTAGTTTGCTAACTTCTCAAAAATATTTTTTACAAACAAAAATATTATAAATTTTGATTAACAAAATATTGCAAGTTCACTTTTACTTACCTAATTCAAGTCACACTCATTACAATGTGAAAGCATTGACCGAGAATGCCTGGGATTTTTTTGCTACTTCAAAGTAAATTTTGCTGTGAAAAAATATCCTTGACATGCGTTTTCTATTGTAAAACAAGAATAATAAATTCAACCTATGCTAGTCTCATTGAGAATCCTAAATCATTACCCTTCGTAAGTAATATGTTTTAAAGAAATTAAAATTGAAAGGCGTAATGTTTTTTATATAGAAACCGTCAGGAAAAAGATCTTCTGAAGTTACACTTAGATGTAAATTTTAGAATAATTTGTTTATTTGCATCACTTCTGGAGATATTAAATAAAAAAAATATACCTTTTTCCAGTAACACAAAGAATCATCAGTTAATATATACATTACACACACACACACACACATATCTTTATATATATAATTCTTCTGTGAGTGTGTATGTCACTGAACTCCTCTTAAGAGACTGGACCGATTTTGATGAAATTTTTTGTGTGTGTTCAAGGGGATCTGAGAATGG